CGGTATTGGTCTGCAGTCCTCTTAAAGGGTGATGGAAGAGAGGGTTGAGAGAGACAGTCTGTAGCTTTGTGGGGGAAAAAAATTACATAAATACATAGAATACTGGAAAGATTTGGAAAACACTGTGACTAAAGACTATGCCAGTGAAAAAGAGTTCTCTCAATCTGTTTTTTTTGAGTCAGGTCTCACTCTGTCGCCCAGGCTGGAGTGCAGTGGCATGTTCACGGCCACCGCAGTCTCGACTTGCTGGGCTCAGATGATCTTTCTGTTTCTGCCTTCCATGTAACTGGAACCACAGGCATGCATTACCATGCCCAGCCAATTTTTTGACTTATTATGGAGAGATGAGATCTTGCCAAATTGCCCAGGCTGGTCTCGAACCCATGGGCTCAGTCAATTATCTCACCTCGGCCTCCCAAAGTGCTGGAATTGTAGGTGTGAGCCACTGCGCCTGCCCAGAGATCTCTCAATCTTGTAGGTGATCATAGAAAGAAGATTTTTCTTTATTTACTTGAGAGACAATGTGTATTTAATTTCTAAAGTTACTGCATTTCATTGAATCTGATAAATCATCTTTTGTAAGACTCATAATTTACATTCTACTTAAAGAGGCAAAAAAAATACAATTTAGTTGGCTGACATTACTGATTTTAAGACACATTCTGATTTAAGACATGTTAAAGTGTGGAAAAATGTGTGCCTTAGAATCAATAAAATGCAGCTTTTTAGACCATACTCTCTCCTGTTGTAATGAAATCCCATCATTCCAGCAGAGAGAACAATCTAGTTGTGTACTTGAAATGTACAACTCCTAGCAATATTTTCTCCCTTGCAATTGAATTTTAATATTTTAAAATAATGACCTTTAGTTAAAGTTGACACAGATTTGTTTTTTTTTTTAGTTGAAATCTCACTCTGTCACGCAGACTGGAAGGCAGTGGTACGCCTCTCGGCCACCTCAGCCTCAACCTGCTGGGCGATTCTTCCGCTTCAGGCTTCCAAGTAGCTGGAACTACAGGCGCGTGCTACCACACCCAGCTAAATTTTTGATTTATTGTAGAGATGAGGTCTTGCCAAGTTGCCCGGGCTGGTCTCGAACCCGCGAGCTCAGACATCCATTCGCCTCAGCCTCCCAAAGTCCTGGGATTGCAGGCTGAGCCACCGAGCCTGACCAGAGTTTTAAGAGGAACGAGTGCTCTGAACATTGCATAGATTGCTCTGAAAAGTGTCACTATGTAGATAGATCCTGCATACAACCTGCTCTGCTGAATATCTTGGCATTTTCTTGTGCAACCCTGACATCTGCTGGACAAATGACACTTAAGCAAAGCTTTCCATTTTAGAGTAAATTCAACTCTTGGCAAGGAAACCAGCTGTGTAATATATACTCTATACTTTCTATTTGAATTTGATGAGTCTAGCAGCTAATTTCTTTTCAATTTTTGTATGCCACTGCTGAGTTTGAATGAGCTTTACTGTAAGAGCTCACTCTCAGTGAGTCTTTAATGTGTGAAGAATAAAGCCCTTTCATTAAACTCATTCTTAACCCTCATGGTGTGCCAGAATCATCATGTGAGAGAGACTGTTTATAAAGATGGCTGAAACAACCCTCTCATCCTACATTCCTTTTGACAACGCGACTTTGCTATTCCATGAAAAAAAAATAGAAACTGCCAGGCGCAGTGGCTCATGCCTGTAATCCCAGCACTTTGGGAGGCAGGGGCAAGAGGATTGCCTGAGTCCAGAAGTTCAAGATCAGCTTGGGTAACTTGGTAAGACTTTGTTTAAAAAAAAAATCAGACAGGTGTGGTGGTGCATTCTTGTAGTTCCAGCTACTTGGAAGGCTGAGGTAGAACCGCCTACATACTATGGAATGACATACCCCATGAAAAGAGCACCCAGCTCATTTTCAGTACCAAGATCCCAAACATGTGGGTAAGTCTGTTTCTGACCTTCCAATCCAGCCATCAGCCAAATGCAGCTGCATAAAGAAACCCCAGTAAGACAAGCAAAGGAACCTACCAGTCAACCCAGAGAGCAATAAGAAACGATAATTTTTCCTTGATGCCATTATACTTTGGGTGCTTGTTATGCAACCACTAATGCACTAATACAGTAGGAAAGCTTTGAAAGAACAAACAATGCCACAGTCCTGATCTATGAGATTTGTATTTAACTTAATACAAATAGATTAAGTAGATTCAGAACTACCAACTTAATAAATAACTTATGTACATGATTACCTTTAATAAAATTCAGTAACACAGCAACATGGTTATTGTTATTCAAATATGTGGCATTACCTTTATATATCCCTTGTGAGGTTGAAACTTTACATAAATGTATAGTCTGTGTACATGCATAGGTGCATATATAATAACAACAAAATCATTGCTATTATTATTCTCCTAGGACAAAACTAAAGTTAAGTGATTTTCCCCAAGATCACTGAATTAGTATGGAGTAGGCTACTTGACTCCACATCATATACTTTTATTTTATTATACTTTTTAATTTTTTAAGATCAGTTTTAGGTTCACAGTAAAATTGAATGGCAGGTACAGAGATTTCCCATACATACCCTGCCCCAATCCATGCACAGATTACCCTGGTATCAACATCCTTCACCAGAGTGGTACATGTGTTACCCTTGATGCACCTAAATTGACACATCATTGTCACCCAGACTCCATAGTTTACATTAGGGTTCAGTTTTGGTGATGGGCATTCTATGGGTTTGGACAAGTGTGTAATGATATGTATCCACCATTACAGTATCATTCAGAGCAGATTCACCGCCCTAAAAGTCCTCTGTGTTCTGCCTGTTCCTCCCTTTCTCTCCTCCAGCTCCTGGAAACCACTGATCTTTTGATTATCTCCATAGCTTTATCTTTTCTCAGAATGTCATAAAGTTGGAATCATACAGTATGTCATCTTTTCATATTGGCTTCTTTCACTTAGTCATATGCATTTAAGTTTCTTCTATGTCTTTGATGACTTTATAGCTTTTAAAAATTATTTTTTATTTTTTTATTTTTTTTGAGTTGGAGTCTCACTCTGTCGCTCCCGGCCACCGCAGTCCGACCTGCTGGGCTCCGGCGATCCTTCCGCCTCAGCCTTCCAAGTAGCCGGAATTACAGGCATGTGCGACCATGCCCGGCTGATTTTTGATTTATTGTAGAGATGAGGTCTCGCTGCCCAGACGGGTCTCGAACCTGCGGGCTCAGGCAATCCACTCACCTCAGCCTCCCAAAGGCGCGGGATTACAGGTTGAGCCACCGAGCCTGGCTTTTTTTTTTATTTTTTAGACAGAGTCTTGCTATGTCGCAGTGGTCATGATCATAGCTCCTGCAGCCTTGAACTTCTGGTTCAAGCAATCCTTCTGCCTCGGCCTCCCCAATATCTGGGACTACAGGCACACACCACCACACTTGTCTAATTTTTTAATTTTTTTGTAGAGATGAGGTTGCCCTATATTTCTCAGGCTGGTCTTGAGCACCTGGCCTCAGGTGATCCTTCTGCTTCTGTCTCCCAAAATGCTGGCATTACAGGCATGAGTCACTGCACCCAGTCTATAGCTATTTTTTTTTAAAAGAAAACACTAAATAATAGTCCACTACTTAGATGTACCATATTTGCCTTATCCACCAATTTGTTTGTATTCTTATTGATATGTTTAAGAGTTCTTTATATATTTTGGAGTGCTTTTGCAAATATTTCCTCCAGTCTGTGGTTTGTCTTTTCATTCTCTTGACAGTGTCTTTCATAGAGAAGAAAATTTTAATGAAGTCCAACTTGTAAATTCTGTATTTCATGAATTATTTCCTTAGTGTTGCATCTAAAAAGTCATCAACAAACCCCAAGTCACCTAGATTTTCACCTATGTTATCTTCTAGAAGTTTTATAGTTTTTCATTTTACATTTAGGTCTGTAACTCGTTTTGAATTAACTTTTGTGAAGGGTGCAAAGTCTATATCTAGGTTGATTTTTTTTGGATGTGGATGTCCAGTTGTTCTGGCATTTGTTGAAAATACTATTCTTCATTGTATTGCCTTTACTTCCTTATCAAAGATCAGCTAACTAAATTTAATCTGTTTCAGGACTCTCTGTTCTGTTCCATTGATCTATTTGTTCTTTTAGCAATACCACACCATTTTGATGACTGTAGCTTTACAGTAAGTCTTGAAGTTGGGTAATATGTTCTTAAACTTTATTCTTCTCTTTCAATACTGTATTGAATATTTTTGGTCTTTTGCTTTTCCATATAAACTTTGGTATCAGTTTGTTGATATATACATAATAATTTGTAGGTATTTTGACTGAAACTGCAAGGAAGCTATGGCTGAAAAGAACTGACATCCTGAGAATACAGTCTTCTTCATTTTTTATTTTCCATAGTGTAAAAACTATATGCCTAAATATAGATTTTATTTTATTTTATTTTTGTCTTATGGCATTTTTTCTGTTTAGTGTTTTCTGAACTTCCTGGATCTGTGGTCTGATATTCATGTAGGGGAAATTCTGAGTCATTACTGTTTCAAACATTAGTTTTGCTCTTTTCTCTCTCTCTTCTCCTTATGGAATTTTCATTATGTATATGTTACACTTGTTGCTGTCCCACTTTTTTGGATATTCTATTCTGTCTTTTTTCTATCTTTTGACCCTTTGACTTTAAGTTTTGATGACTTTTATTGCTATATTCTCAAGCTTAGAGTGTCTTTCCTTGGCCATGTTCAATCCACAAATAAGCCCATTCCTCATTTCTGTTACAGTGTTTTGACCTCTAGCATTAATTTTTTAATTCTTTCTCTCTTTTTTCTCTTTATTTTAAAGATGTGGTGTACAATTTGGGATTAGGTATACAAATGTTCATTATGAAGGTACCTTTTTTGATGAGGTGTGCCCTTTCCTCCCCTGGCAGTTTCTCTCAACTGCCAATCCTACCCCATCTTCCCTGGCAGTTTCCCACTACTTCCAATCCCTTTCTTGCAGTATTATGATAATTGTTCAAGTTCCGCTTATGAGCGAGAACATATGGTACTCTGTTCTTTGTTTCTGTGATAGATCACCAAATATGATGGACTCTGCCTCTCTGCCTACATTGCTTATTTGCTTTTGCATACCGTCTTTATCCATGAGAGTTCTTAGCATCTTAATCACAGTTGTTTTGAGTTTCCAACTCTGCTAATTCTAATATCCCTTTCCTGTCTGAGTCTGGTTTTGATGCTTGCTCTGTCTCTTCAAAGCTGTGTATTTGCCTTTTAGCATGTCTTGTACTTTTTTCTTGATAGTTGAACATGATGTACTGGGTAAAAGGAACTGATACAAACAAACCTTTAGTAATATGGTGGTAAGCAGTGGGGTAGTGTTACATAGTTCCAGGTCTAGGTCTCAGTCTTCTAGTGAACCTGAGTCTCTGGATTGCAAACTTGACATATGCTTCTCAGTCCTCCTTTCTCCTTAGGTGGGACAGGATGGCTAGAGTGGGCTGGAGCTGGTGCTTTCCTTTCCCTTTATCAATTAATCTTTGATAAAACCCCAGTAGGTTAGGTTCTTGGTAACTAGTTTTTCCTGAGGGTAGACTTTGTTAGGAAGACTAGAGTGCTCTGGCATATTTCAAAATTGATTCTTTGCCCCTTCCCCTGCAGGAAACACCATGGGACTTTTTTAGTCTTTGCCATGAGAATTTGATTGTGCTTCCAGAGGTGAAACCTAGAAAGGCAAGAAGCTCCCCATAACTGGGTCCCTCTGGAGTTTTCATCACTCAGACTGGTCCATTTTGAGATCATCCAGCAATGCATCAATGATAGTCCAGATTTCTCTACTATGGCACTGTTTTTTGGGAGGGTTTGTGCTTTGGGGTTTTTCTCCGAATCATGAATCTCTGTATTTACTTGTCTGTTTCTTTAATTTGGGGGGAAATGGTTTGTTGTGATCCCACTTCTCTGATGGGTCTAAGAAGAGTTATGATTTTTTCAGTTTGTTCAGCTTTTTACTTGTTTGGATGAAATGGTGACTTCCAGCTTCTTACAAGCCAAATCAGAAACTGGAACCATCTTAAACTTCTTAAAGTACGTAGAACATATTGTTGCCTTCTGACAGTTACCTCTTTAGTCAGTGACTGAGTGCATACATACGATCTATATAATCAGAGATATAGGTAATAGGTTAGAGAGAAAGAGGAGTGATTAGAATCCTAAAACCAAAATAATTGGAATTCAAAAGAGTTAGAATAATAAAGCCCTTTGTCCATCAGGGCAAGCAATACTGGAATTTGGAGTATTAACCAAAAAGACTATTGGGCTAGGCAGTGTAGTAAATAGTGCCAAAATGTCTAAAATGAAGGGATCTCTAAGCAAAATATCTGTATATATATATATATATGTTTTTGAGTTGGAGTCTCACTCTGTCACCGAGGCTGGAGTGTAGTGGCATGCTCATGGCCACTGTAGCCTCGATTTGCTGGTCTCAGGCAATATTTCTGCCTCAGTCTTACAAATAGCTGGAACTATAGGTGTGCGCTATAATGCCCAGTTAATTTTTTAATTTACTGTAGAGACGAGGTCTTGCCACGTTGTCCAGGCTGGTCTCGAATCTGTGGGCTTAGGCAGTCCTCTCACCTCTCCCTCCCAAAGTGCTGGGGTTACAACCATGCCTGGCTGCAAGATATCTATTTAATTAAATAAATAAAATTTATTTAAATCAATAAATATTTAAAATTTTACCATCTAGTGAGAAAAAAATTATTCTTTTTTCTTTTTCTTTGTGGTTATAGTAGATAGGTAGTTAAAACTATAGGATACTAATCTTCGCTTAGTTTAAACAATACATTTCTGTCTAAGCTGCTCAAAGGTAAAAGAAACCTTTGGAAGAGCTGATACTAAAAAACTGATATCTGTAGAAAAGAGATTTTAGCGGCAACAAATACTATCTATGTGAAATTCATTGTCATGCTTTGAGGAGAGATATCTTGCAGATGTTGGGATATTGTCTTCACCTGTAAGAAAATTTCTACAACAATGCTTCTCAGACTTCAATGTGCAAATAAATTACCTAACCCAAGAGTCTTGATACAATTGTGATTTAGTAGGTCTGGGTGGGGGCTGCATTTCTACATTTCTAACAGTTTCCCAGGTGATGCTCATGCTACTGGGTCTTGTGATCACAGTTTGAGAACTGCTGTCCTAGGAGAAATTCTGTAGAACCTTAATATTCAAAGTGTCGTCTACAGACCAGCAGCAACAGCATCACCTGAGAATTTGTTAGAAATGCAAATTCTTGAGCCCATCCAGATCTACTTAATCAGAAACTCTGGGAGCTGGGGCCCGGGTATTTGTAGTTTAACAAGCTCTCCAGGTAACTGTGATGCATGCTAAAGTTGGAGTATCATTGATCTAGAAGAGTATTTTCCATCCATAATAGAGTCAGCTGGGGAGCTTAATAAACAATCAGTTACTGGTTTCCATGCCATACCAATTAAATAACAGATCACAGAATGTAAGAACCTTCATTGTGTATATTTTAAAAAAAAGTTTCCCCAGGTGATAATAATATACAGTTAGATTTGAGAGCCACTGCCTGAGAGATAGGCTCACTTACTTCATGAGTCTTTGTCAGCAAAAGCCTGATAGAGGTGGAGGTTTCTGGATCTACTGGGCCAGTAGCTCTGCTCCTCTTCACTGTTGCTTTGCATCTGTAACCAAGATCCCATAGAACTCATTTAATGAGAAATGGAGACAAGGAAAGGTGCAGGTGGCAGGTAACTTTAGCGGGGGAAGTTGGGTGTACTTGAGAGACTTGGCTTCTTCAAGGACCAAGTAGTGAGTAAGGCAGGAGCTGAGATGTGGCACTACCTTCAATAAGAGGTGACACACATGCAAACGATATTGCCAATAATCACAAATTCTCTTTTTGGCAATTATTTTAAAGCTTTTTCAAGGAATACTGATGGCAGTAACTTCCATAAACTCAGGCAAGAGGAGTTCTGAGTTTTTGAGGGTCTACATAGTGAAGAGTTGGCAGACATAGAGAATGGCTCCACTTGAATTCTCCACTATCTCTTCTAGAACATTCTCTAGTTATCCATAATCACAAAATCTGCTGCTCAAATGGCCCCAAGCTGGTTGCAGGGACCTGCTCTGGGTTTCCCCGATGACTGTTCTCTCAAGGGCCAATCTCTCCACTAGTGGAATGCAGCAGTAGGCCTGAATAATGACCAAGGATGGCTGTTTGTATGGATAGGACTTGTGGCATTTGGATATGCAGGCTGGGGTGCCCACACATGGGTGTGCAAGATGCCTTATGGTACAGGACAGATCTGGGCATGGGAAGAGAAGGGGACAGGCCAGGAGCTGGGGAGTGGCTCTGCCCACACTGTCATGTTCTAGCACAGAAGTTCTGAGAGTCTGAGAATTCTAGATTGAAGTCTGGATGTACAGTACAGGTCTTAGTGGTTACATATTTGTCAAGGTAAGAGAGGACATATTTTATTTGCATGCTCAGCTTTGTGTAAAATGAGTCATTTCTATTTCCACTCCTATAAGGACACCTGCCAATAGTAAGCACAGGTTTGCTTAATGAATACCTTCAATAGAGATCAGACAAGATAAGAATGATAAAAGTAACTCACAAAATCTGCCTGCTCTTAAGAAACCAAACCCATTTCTTTTCCCCCCCTGTATATTACTCCACTAAGGGTTTCTGAATTTAATTTAAAAAGTGGTATATCTGGCAAGGACAGAAAGCCTGATTTTTTTCCCCCAAGAGTCTTGACCCTTCTTTTTCTGGGAAGAATTTATAGCCTTTCTCTGCCAGCTTCTTTCCTACCTCCAATACACTCACCTTCTCCAAGTCAGAAATGTCTTGCTGGGTTAAAAATCGATGCAGCTCTGGTCTGTCTATGCTCTGCTTCCATTTCTGCTGGGTGATAGACAGGTCCAATGACTTAACCTTCCTGCCCATAGGATTATTCTGGAAGAGACTCTTTCTTGCTCTGCTCTTTCTTTTCCAGAAAGTTTCATCTTTGGCTGAATGAACTTCCATATTGGTGGCCTGTAGACTCCACAGCTCTTTCCTTAACTGTGCTGAGTCTGTGCTCCACTGGTCATCTCCTCTGGGCAGAGAATGTGTGCAACAAGGGGCTTTAGGGTTAGAATGCAGAGTTTGTGCTGGTGCTTGCTCTGTAGACATCCCCTGCTGTGTTTCCTCTTTAGAACAGAGAACACATGGAGAGGGAGAAGGGGGCAGCTTTGTACTCTCAATGGGGGGCACAGGATCTTCCTGTGGGGCTTGCCCAAACTCAGAGTCTTGCTGGAGTACCTGCTTCTCTCCCCTCACTCTGTCCATCACTTCCCATACAACTTGGTCCAAACTGTTCCTTTTAGGGGTGTTCTGGGGTACTGGTAGCCGACTTCGGGGACACGTGTAAAGGCACATTTTGGAGATGGCTTTCCGGAGACGCTCTCTGGGTGAGTGGGGTTCAGGCTCTGGGGACAGAATCCTGATGGATGGCATATCAGTTGGATTGCAATTCCAGAACATGTGGGATGGTGTGAACTTTTGGATAGGTGTTTTAGACACATAGGAGTAGAGACAGAAGAAGGCATCAGCAGTGACAGCCAATGTTTGCACTTGTTTAAACCTACCTGGGTACAAGGAGTGAAGATGGTGAGTCTAGGGTCTATCAGCAAATTATCTCTTAAATCTCTCCCCTCAAAAGCCTCCCCAAAGCTCAAAATTCAGAGAGAAGCTGCCAGTTTCCCCACTAGTGTTTCTTCCCATTTAGGTTTCTGACACCCTTTCTTGACTTCTTGATGCCCCAATCCCAAGCAGATATTTCAACTGAGAAATAGAAAACAGGGGTAAGATGTCAAGACATTGCGCTGATTTCACTCAGCTCAAGAAGAGATGGTCTAAAGGCCTAAAGACCTCATGGTCTGAGGTCTCTTGAAAACTATTTCCTCTAGAAAAAGAAGCAGACATCAAAGTTCTCCATCTTTGCTGAAGACAGCATAAAAGGAGATAAACACAAGAGACAAAGGGTCAAGTGGAGGTAATCAAGAAAAAGTAGGCGTTGGAGCCAGGAGCCCAACTGTGAAAGTCTGGAGGACAGAGGAGAAGCAGAGCCATGTCTGCAGAAGCACTCACTGGCCAGCATGAGGCAGGGGTCCTCCATCTCAATCCTCCGCACCTGGGCCTTCAGGAAGAGCTGGAAGTCAATGCCCTTGGCCTGGGAGGGGTTGGTGAAAAATCGAGCAGGGATCCGTGAAGTGCCTTTTTGGTTCTCTTGGCCAAAGCCCAGACTAAAGAGGACATCTTCTGCATCTTCCTGCACCTTGTCCAGAATCTCGGAGATGCTGAAAATAAGGAGTTTGGGTAACCAGGGGACAACTTTGAGACCTATGGCAATTCAGAATATCTAATTAAAGTATCAGGAGAGTGAAACTCTTTTCTGGTCATTTCTCTACTTTTCACTGTGACTTGGAGAGAAGCTTTCACTTCTCTGAACCTAAATTCTGTCTAAAACATAGGATGTACAGTCCAGGCCTAGTTATAAGAAAATAGAATGTTAGCATGGTATTTTGAACAACTTATTGCAGATGAGTAAAAATTTAAGTAAACATGAAAAGGTTTTGGAAAAATGAAAAGCAGGACAGTGCAATGGAATTTTTTAGTTTCATTATTATAAGTAGCTGCTCAGTTCCCTGACTTGCCACCCAACATGCCCTCGTGGTTGTGTGGAACAACTATACAATTAGCATGTAAGGAACATAGAATTCTGAAGGTAAACCTTTTTATTCTCAACCAGAAGGTAAAAATTAATTGATAGGTACATTCAAAACCTGATTTTGAAAGGCATACCCCTTTCTAGTACTATTTTCAGGACAGAACTCCTGTGTCACAGAAGATCAAATTGTCTCTCCGTCTCTCTCTCTCTCTCTCTCACTCTTTCTCACAAGTCTCACTCTCACTCTCATTCTCTTTCTCTGTATGGCACCAACTCCAAATAAAACTAAGTCTGAGTGTGGCCAATCCAATGGGTCAGAAGAAATACTGAGCTTTTTCATGCAAATAGGGACCATCTTGTTTAACTAATAGCTGCACAGTTGGAATCCGGGGTTCCTCAAACTTTTAAAACACGGGGCCAGCTCACTGTCCCTCAGACCGTTGGAGGGGCGGACTATAGT